CAATCTCAATGTGTTTTGTGCATTCATGAAACACTGAATTAGAAGCTATATGTAAAGCTGCTTTATTGTCACACCATAGTTTTGCTAGTAATGAGGTTTTAAGACCAACCTCCTTCAGTAATTGATGTATCTAGACGATCTCGCACATAGATTGTGCCATAGCTCTATATTCTGCCTCTGTACTTAATCGTGACACCACATTCTGTTTCTTGCTCCTTCAAGACACCAAATTTCCTCCCATAAAGACACAATATCCTGTAGTAGATCTTCTTGTGGCCTTTGAACCACCATGATCAGCATCACAAAAGCACTCAATATCTGTATGACCATGATTTCTGTATAATATCCCACAACCTAGAGACTCCTTCAAGTAATGAAGCACATGCTCTAAAGCTTCCCACTGTCTGATAATAGGTGAGACCATAAACTGGCTAAGTATACTAACTGGATAGGTGATATCAGGACGGGTCACAGTAAGATAATTCAATTTTCCAATCAATCTTCGATACCTCTCCGGGTTCTCAAACGGCTTGCTCTTAGCAGCATCAACGGGATTCTCAGATGGTATGCTTCTATCGGCATCAAGGAGTGGATTATAAATCATTGGAAAACTGTTTGGCGTAGCCCCTAACTTTCCAATTTCCTTCAACAGATCAAGAACATACTTCCTCTTAGTCAATAAGATTCCTTTCTTACTTCTCAAGACCTCAATTCCAAGAAAGTACTTTAACGGGCCCAGATCTTTTGTTTGAAAATGAGAATTAAGAAAGGACTTAAGTGAAGAGATCCCCGACATATTACTCCTTGTAATCACAATATCATCTACATACACAACCAATAGGTTTTGAGAGGGCGATCCTGCTTCTCTGCATGATAGAAAGCTTTGCAAACCTCATAAACACGAGAGATATTTCCCTTGCCTGAGTATAAAAACTCTAAGTAATTCATCAGTTCTTTAACAAATTCATAGTGAGTAATAGAAGGAATAATCTCACTGTCAATGGAGTTGCGGATCTGTAAGACGAGCCGTGCATCGTCCCTTAACCATGATTGACGGGAGTCAGTGGTCGGAGGGTCTTCAGTTAAATGATTCTCCTTCTTAATGCTTCATAAGTAGATACGAATAGTCTTACTCCAATCTAGGTAATTTGTCCAATTTAATTTGTGCTCAATAGTCTTAACAACTACCGGAACTGCTTCAGAGGTAACTGTAGACTTAGTATCACCCATGAGAGATAAACAAAAAAGAGATAATAATTCTAGCTGCAATAAGGAAAAATAAGTAGCCACAAATGATCACACCAGGGACCAAACAACACTTCCTACGATCTATAGAAGGCAGGAACAGCAATACCAGATTTGAACGTTATTGTTCAAAAGGCACAGTAACCAAACGGGTCTGAATCAACATAATGGGGGAGACCCATATCTGAAAAACACTAGGAATTTGCCAGAAAAGGGAAGACAAAGTTGAAGAAGAGCTCAGATGGCGAAAACCACAACAGCGTGTGAATAGTACCGCCGCAGGTGACGGCGCATGAGGCTCACGCGCTGCTCGAACGGTGACGAAACTTCAAGGATTAGTCGGTCAGCACCGTGCGATCCTCCCTGGCTAGCACGTGCTCCCACCAAACGCTCGACACAAAAGCCCTAACGTTGAACACAAGAGCTGACGGCAGAGACCCACTGTACGATGCAGACAGAGTGAACCCAGACAGAAAATCTAACTCTAAATGGCCTGCTCTGATACCATATTAAGGAGAAAATAATATGGAATATATTTCTTATATATTCATGATCAGAAAGGAGAATTTATAAACAAGAGAAGAGCCTCGGTCATTAATGGCTTATTATTAGGGGATAATATCATATCCTATCATATTTGATTTGATCCTATATTAATTACAATATATTTACATGTCTTTACACTTACCTCCAAAATAACCTTTCATCAATCAGAAGAACCCTTTTACCCTAAAACCCACAAGGGGAGAACCTAACTGAATTGCAGTCTGGGATTCTGATAGTCAACTTTACCTATGAGCTGCCTCTTACCCTTCAAACTGAACAAAACTTTGAGGAAGAAAAACAATTTCAAACTGAGGGGGAGAATAGGGCCAAGATAAACCCAATAAAGACTTTAATAAAGTATATAACAAAAGAACGAAACCTACACAATGGCCATCAAGCGTTAAGCAACACCAAGCACCCAAACAGTTGACAGATCCTGTAAATAAAGTATTTGATGAATCTAGTGTAAATGATATAGACCATATAGGAAGCACAAAATCAAATCTAGATCTTCCAACAGCTCTGAGAAAGAAGCTAAGGATCTGTACACAATATCCAATAGCAAACTACATATCATACAAAACTCTATCACCATAATATTGATCACTCATAAGCAATCTTGACACCACAAAAATTTCCCACAAGCATTGAAGAAGCATTAGCGTCTCCCAAGTGGAAATAAGCTGTCCTAAAATAGATGAATGCGTTAAAGAAGAACAACACATGGGACAAAGCTGCTTTACCACGAGAAAAGAAGGCAGTGGGATGCAAATGGGTGTTCACCATAAAATACAAGACAAATGGAACAATTGAAAAATTCAAGACAAGACTTGAAGCAAAAGTCTTCTATCAAGTCTATGAAACAGACAGTACAAAGACATTTGCTCTGGTGGCCAAACTAAACACTATAAGAATTCTGATACTATTGGCAGCCAATTTAGATTGGCCTATCTACCAATTAAACGTAAAAAATGCATTCCTGAATGATGACTTGGAGGAGGAAGTATACATGATAATTCTACCAAGATTTCTGACCAAGCAACCAAACATGGCATGCAAATTAAGAAAATGGCGCAAGAATTTTAAGTAAAAGACTTGGGAGAAATGAAGTACTTCCTTAGACTAGAAGTGGCATGATCAAAAAGAGGGATTTATATATCCTAATGAAAGTATGTACTAGATCTACTCAGAGAAATAGGGATGCTAGGATGTAAGCCAAGTTCAACCCCAATAGAAGCCACAACAAAGAGAAACAAGAAAAAGAAAGGTGAGTCAACAGATAACAAGGGAACTTGTGAGAACAATGATGAAAAAGATGAAGAAGAAGAAAACGAAGGAAATGATGTCAACAAAGGTAGATATCAAAAATTGGTGGAAAAACTCATTTATTTGTCTCATTCAAGAACAGACATAGCATTTGCACTAAATGCGGCAAGCCAACATGCACATAACCCAAAAGAAAAGCACCTCAAGCATAGTGCATGGAAAAAAACACTAACCGAAGTGTGATGATTTTCACAAATGTTGATTATGCAGGTGCTTATAGTGACAGAAGATCCACAACAAGCTACTGTATTTATGTTTGGCGAAACTTGGTCATCTTGAGAAGCAAGAAACAAAATGTAGCATCCTAGAGCAGTGTCGAATCGAAATATAGGGCAATCACTCAAGAAATATGTGAATTAATTTGGATAAAGAGTGTTGGAAGAACTCAGAATACAAATGGAGTTTCCGATGAAATTGTACATGGATGGGCACTTTATCCAAGAAAAGATAGATAATGGATTGGTTACCCTCATACATGTATCAACGTGGAATCAAATAGCAAATATTTTCACCACAGGCCTACAAAAAGAAAAATTTGAAGACCTTGTGCATAAGTTAGACATGATTGACATCTATGATCCAACTTGAGAGGGAGTGTAAAAATCCTAAAAATTAAGCACCGTAATAGAATTATTTATGATTCATTATTCTTTAGTTTCCTACTGTTGTAAATAGGTTTATTAGGCTTTATTATATTTCCTTTTATTTTCTCTTGCACAGTATATATAATCCTGTAACCTATCGATACGAGATAAAGAATACTCACAGACTATTCAAATTGTTCCCCAGCTCACAGCATATTACATGGGTATTGCTACTCAAGGAGACAAGTATATTAGAGACTTAAAAAAGATAGCTATTAGACACATGTGCCTAAAAGAAATACTTTATTTAAATTATTACTAACACTCCCCGCAAAGTTGGTCAGAATAACTTCCCTGCCAAGTTTGACAATTAAATCCTTTGATTGTACATCTTCTAGTTGCTCACAAGAAGAAGAAAAAAGGAGCACAAATTGTACATTTTGTTTCACTGAAGTACAAAAGTGGGAGCTAAAAGTAATGACAAAGGCATCATAGTTTATTAAAAAACATAGAACCAAGACGAATCAAGCGGAGCCAGGATACTGCCAAATGGATTCCTATCTGCTTCTTCTTGTTTTGAAAAACCTTTTGGGAAAAAATGTTAAGTTTGATTTGAAATTCTATCTACCTTGAATAGGCGTAATACAAGCTTCTTCTTGTTAAAGCATGTTAGTTTTGGCAGTATCCTGGCTCCATTTTAAATGCTTATTTAAGATTCAGACTATCATGTTGGATAACTAGCTAATAGGTAAAGCAAATAGGAATGCATTTGTTTTTGAATGAAAGAAAAACATCACAAAAATGTCGGGAGACAACCTTGTTAGGCCAGCAGATCTGCAACACAATATTTCTTTTCATAATGAAAGACGATGCAAAATATTATTAGAATCAATCTTATTGAATATTCAACCCCCCCCAAAAAAAAAAAAAAAACCAAATGAATGACTTGACTTTGGAAGGGACCTTTAGACATGTCTACGTGATTGCAGCCTATTGTTTCATGTCTACGTGTATATGATGTATTGTTTCATGCTTAATGGGGCATGAAACTTGCTCAAAGTAATTTGACAGGAAATTTTAATTTTAGAGATTGTGCATCACACACCCATCTACAAATTCGAACATTTCAAAACAAGTAGAAAAAATATACCACACCCAACCCTGAAACTAGATGTTTCAAGTTGGAATCATTTGGCTATCAAGAAAGCACAATAAAATTTGCCACACTGAAGCTGCCTCAAAAAGAAAAATACTTGAAAATTGTAATTGCAGCAAAAATCCAAGAGACAATTTACTTACGGTCAAAAAAGAAGTAAATTCTGCAGGAATTTAGACCATGGCTGGTAAGGCTGAAGTTGGCCCTGATAAATGAAGATAAATCTCCATCATCTGCAATTCCTATTCAAGAGTGAGGCAGGCGAAAGATAGAAGATTGAGAACCCAGTTTGGAATTCAGGACAAAGTAGAAGAAGCGAAATAAAATGAAGAATAACAATTAGAAGCCACTAATATTGCCTACAAAGCGGAAACGGGAAGGGCGATAATTCTTTTTTCTGGGTGACATAAAGGAGATAATATTTCAGCATGGCACAAATTGTTCAGATCTAATTCCAGCAATCAAATATCAGACAAAGTCCAAGAGGTAAAGTAGATAACAGGGATTCCATTGATTGATATCCCAAGACATTCGAGAGCTCTATCTAACAATATTTTTCTTTCTACCTGTCTCCTCTATGCCTCTAGCCACGTCTTTCCTTCGATATTAAAGTAAAGAATATTTAAAGACCATTGTAATAAAATAAAAGCAGAGAAAATAGCTCACTATGTCAGGTAAATGTGAGCCTATTTGCAACAAGTAGGCTCCTTGCCATTAATTAAAATGTCCCAAGATAACTGTTATAACAAGAAAATGATGCGCAAGGGATGAACTTACAAGGCTATACAGAGGTGAGACAATCATTTATTTAATAGTGGAAAAACAAAAAAGTTGGTATCTAAGAGTGCTCTAGTATCATTCTATTATTTTGAATCTTTTATGAATAATGTTTTAATAAGTTGTGTGGTTTCAGGAGAGAAAAGGAATTTTGTTCCAGTTTTTTATTTAGAAAAGATTTTATGGGGAAAGAGGATAAAATAAAAATAAAAAAATTATTTTTTGTCAATAATAAAATAATAATAAAAATATTTATTTAATAATCATTCATTGTTTAAAAAAATTAATTTGTTAATCCTTATGGTTTCACTAGATTTTGAATTAGATCCCTCTAATTTTTTTTACCAATTAATTCGTGATTATTTTTTTTACCAATTAATTCGTGATTATTTTTTCACTAAATAACCAAGGGAAGGGGTCTTAATTGAAGAAGATATCACCTCTGGTGTGAAAAGAAGAAGGGTCTTGGGGAGAAAACATGAGAAGGTAAGAACACTGCTATGGATGCTTTCTGGGAGGAGCTCTAAAGAGAGAAGAGGGGATTGGTGATTTGTTGTCCATTTGGTGAAGGCATATAATTATATCCGACTGGGAGAGCAATAACGATTGTGACCAGAAGGGGTATGAGAGAAAGAGGAAGAACCATCTTCATCAAGTTTATGTTTTCCTATTTGAAGAATCAAATTGGAACACAGAATCTAGAAGGAAATGCAATTACTTGCTTTCTTTGTCAGTCATGACCTAATGAAATGGAAACGGACAGCGTCAAGAGCATCTATCTATTAATGGAGGACAATAAGTAGAGGGACTTGCGGTTTTAATGGAGCAAACAATAAGAATTGAATTAAAAGGAAATAAATTAGAAGGACCTGATCCAAAATTTGATAAAATTAAAGGGACTTATGGATTAATTTTCTCTTGTTTAAATTTTAAAATTTCAAAAGTGGGGAAAAGATAATAATAATAGAAACTCAGATGTGAATTTCTTAAATAACACCAGAAATTTCTTATATAAAGATCATACTATACAAGAAATCAAAACATGGGAGGCTTCAATAACATCATTATAGGAAACTCTTCCGACAATAATGAGTGCAGAACTACAATGCAAAGCAGACAGTATTGCTCTAAATGGGGAAAAACGGCCAAAGCAGTATTGGAAAAATTGACCATCAAAGAGGAAAGCAACACTGCTTAAAATTCTTATAAAAATCATGACAACTTAAAGTTGGGAAGTTTAGTTATCAAAAAAGTTGGAGAGTTTAAAATAGATGAAAAATGGTAAGGAGGAGAACAAATGTGTACCTCTGCTCCCTTATTCGCACTACCCTCTCAATATTACTCTGAATTTGATTTGGCAAAGCACAATTGCGTACAAGGTATTCAAAGAACAACTCTGCAAATGGCCATGACAACAATTAACTAACAATAAATGAGCAAATTTCCTGTCACCAAAAAAAAAAAAAAAAGAAGACAAAAGAGCAAATCTCCAATATGGAAGAAACCAAAAAGTTTTCTAACATACCAAACAGGGCAAAAGATGTACAATATTGAAAGAAACAATAAGAAAATTAACCCATATCGATTTACCGCTGAAAGGGCCATTTTTCACGCCTAAACTCTGCTCATCTAATAGAAACTTTACGGCTTCAACTAGAAAAGGCCTTCTAACACGCCAAGCTGCAGACAACCTTCACAAAGAGTTTTGGTGAGCTATTATTAGAGAATCAATAATAATTAGCACGAGAATTAGAAAAGAAGAAACCTTGGCAAAAGGTACTTCAAAACACGAAGTGCACTAAAGGTCAGTGGTTTTTCCCTCGACCTGCTTTTCTGACAGTAAAGAACGAAGGAGGAGAAGTTATGATCAAATTAAAGAAACATGATTTTTTCCTTTTTTTTAAATAAAAGAAGATAATTTAATAGAATGAAAGATCGAAAGGATAAAAATGTGAAGACAAGTCCTTACTCCAATCATATTCATTTTTCATTTCTCGAGTATGAATTTATTGATGCCAGTTCCTTTTCAACATGATATCTGTTAGGATTAGTTTCTGTGAATAGGGTTTTGTAGAAATAGAAGAGTAAATTACTCGACTTTCCGTGAATCTTAGCTCAAACCAAATGCACTCTCCTCAGGAAATAGATGCATGTAATTTAAGTAGCTTTTCTAAGCCAGTCTGTTTGAGTTTTTCCCTCAATTGAGTCAAACCCCTACGGCAATAATGCATTCAAAGATGTTTGGAGAGATCGGCATGCATTATTGCATCAATGTTTTTAACACTTCATTCTAGGCTGAGAGTCTGTCTCTGCAGTTTAATTTCTGATATAACCGCTGGCATTAGGAGGACTTATAGGAGGAAAATGAGAAAACCAAGGGGAGAAGTTGAAACCACTGGTCAAATCAACTACCTCAGAGCTCCAGAAATTGAGGACCAACTCTGAGTGGCAGCTAGCCACTAGCAGTATGGGTCTTAAACCCTTTAGGGTGGGTAGGTTTTCTTTTGGGGGGCAGCCTTTATTTTGTAAGGGGACGGACTAATGGAAGGGGGAGGAAAAAAAAAAGAGTGTTTAGGGAGAGACCTGGCCTCTCAAATGCCAAAGGGAAGCTGTTGTAACTAGTTTGTCTTGTTAGTCCCGGTATCATCTTTTGTTGCTGGTTGTGATTTATCTTGTAATCAGGGAAATAGGGCTTTGAGCTAGAATCAGGAGGAACCTTTTGTATCTTGATTCAGTGTTGGAACGTTATTATCAAAGCCTCAGGATTTCTCTCATTTATGACTGATCTGCTTCCTTATTTTCATTTTGTTTTCGGTTCTGTTGAATATTAAAGTTGGGTCACAACATTTGGTATCAGAGCGTTCGATTCTGGGGCCACGTTAGTTGAAACAGTAATGGGGGAGGAAATACAATACACGAATCCGAAAGTACAGGAGTTAAGGGAGACGGTTGGGGGTTTGTCCAGAGATATGAATATATTAAAGGGGGCTGTTAACCGGATACAAGAGGCGATTGAACAGTTGGTCAGACCGAGAGATGGTGCCGAATCAACTAGCCAGAGGAGAGGGGGAAACCACGAGGAAACCAATGAACACCGTGGGGAAGTTGACAGAGAGACGGGGAAATATAGGAAACTGGAACTACCTATTTTCAACGGAGAGGACCCTCTGGGATGGTTCTTCAAAGTTGAACGGTACTTCAGAGTCAATGCTATACCAGAGGCCGAAAGGTTGGAGGCGGCGGTTATCTGCTTGGAAGGAAAAGCTTTAAACTGGTATCAATGGGTGGAGTCTCGAACCACCATTCGGGGCTGGCAAGAATTTAAGAGAGAAGCTTTACGGCGATTCCACCCTTCGCAGCTTGGGGATAGTTATGAGATGCTATATGCAGCGAAACAGAATCGATCGGTCCTGGAATTTGTGGAGGAATTTGAGCGCCTCGCCGCTCCCTTGCCCGACATACCAGAGGAGAGTTTGATAGGAACCTTTCGAGTAGCCTTGAGACCAGAAATACGAGCAGAGCTCCGATTGACCAGTGCCAGCTCCCTACGAGAAGTCATGGAGATGGCAATCCGGGTAGAAGAACGAAACCAGGTGCTCGACGCTGCCAAGGAGACACGGGCCACCCGTTTTCAAAGATACCCGAGTGGGCCAAAGATGGATTCGGTTCAGACCCAACACACCCGGATTACCAACTTACCCGAAACGCAGAAAGCTTCGTCGTTCTCTTCTCCACGGCCAGAAACAGCATCTGCGAAAAGAGACGAAGCGAAGGGGGTAGACTCGAAAGGGAGCAGCACCTCGATGGCTTCCAGTTCTTCGGTCCGAAGGGGAGTAATGGGTCGATGCCTCTCCGACGCGGAACTCACTCGCCGACGAGAGCTGGGGCTTTGCTTCAAATGTGCTGAGAAGTTCGGCCCAAACCACATCTGCAAGAACAAAAACTTGCAGGTGATGATTCTGGATTTGGAGGCCGAGAAGAGTGAGGACGGGAAGGTAGAAACTGACAAAGAGGAAGAGGCCACTGAGATGGAAGAAGGAGGGAACATGACGATGGAATTATCACTCAATTCCATCTCCGGCTTTGGCAGCAATCACACAATGAAGGTTAGGGGATGGCTAGCGGAAGAAGAGGTCATTATTTTGATAGATAGTGGAGCCACCCATAACTTCGTGTCTGAAGAATTAGTAAACAAAAAGGGGATTGAAGTTGATGAAATAGCTGAATACACGGTAGCAGTAGGGGATGGTCGCCGGCTGAGGAGAAGACAACGCTGCCCGAAAGTCAATCTCAAGGTACAAGGTCTAGAGATTAATCAAACCTTTTATCCGTTTCCGTTAAGTGGAGTGGATATGGTACTGGGAGTTGAGTGGCTGAGGTCGCTAGGGGATGTGAATGTCAATTGGAGTCGCCTAACCATGAAGATTGGGAAGCCGGGAAACAGGGTGTGTCTGCAGGGGGACCCGTCACTGACAAAGAGCCAAGTGACCCTCAAATCCTTAATCCGATTAATGAAGAAGAAGGAGGAGGTGTATTTAATAGAGTATAATGGACTGACGAATGAAGAGACAGAAACAAGGGAGATAGCACCTGAAATACAAGCTTTATTGGAACAGTTTCCCACGGTGTGTCAAGCTACGGAGGGCTTGCCTCCCCCCCGTTCAAAAGACCATGCAATTGTAACCAGATCAGGAGAACAGCCCCCAAACATTCGCCCTTACCGATACCCCCATTTACAAAAAAATGAGATAGAAAAAATGGTGAAGGACATGTTGCAGGCAGGGATCATACAGCCTAGTAATAGCCCCTATTCTAGTCCCGTTTTGCTGGTTAAGAAAAAAGATGGAAGTTGGCGGTTTTGTGTTGATTACAGATCATTAAACAAGATTACAGTGCCTGACAAATTCCCTATTCCAGCCATTGATGAGTTGTTGGACGAGCTCAAGGGAGCCAACATCTTTTCAAAGCTGGATCTTAAATCCGGATATCACCAGATTAGAATTAAAAAGGGTGATGAGCACAAAACAGCTTTTAGAACACATGAGGGCCATTATGAATTCAAAGTCATGCCATTTGGGCTGACCAATGCCCCTTCCACCTTCCAATCATTGATGAACGAAGTATTCCGAGAGTACTTACGTAAGTTTGTCCTAGTGTTTTTTGATGACATTCTTATTTATAGTACAGATTTTTCTACTCATTTGAAACATTTAGAGATTGTACTAACCTGTTTGAAAAGAAACCAGCTGGTTATCAATTTAAAGAAATGCAGCTTCATGCAGTGCAAGATTGAGTACCTTGGCCACATCATCTCCTCAGAAGGGGTGCAAGCTGATCCCTCCAAAATTGAGAGCATGGTTAACTGGCCTAAGCCCAAGAATGTGAAGTCCTTAAGAGGATTCCTAGGGCTCACTGGTTATTACCGGCGGTTTGTCAAAAATTACGGTAAAATAGCTAGTCCTCTTACTGACTTGTTGAGAAAGGATGCTTTTAAATGGACTCAGGAAGCTGAGACAGCATTTGGAGAGCTCAAAACAGCCATGACAACACTTCCAGTACTAGCAATGCCCGACTTCTCCATACCCTTCGAACTGGAAACCGACGCTTCGGGGACTGGTGTGGGAGCAGTGCTGGTGCAGAAGGGAAAACCAGTAGCCTATTACAGCCAGAAATTATCAAACCGGGCTCAGCAGTGTTCAGTGTACGAAAGAGAGCTCATGGCTATAGTGATGGCGGTCAAGAAATGGCGTCACTACCTCTGGGGGCATAAGTTTGTGATCAGGACAGATCAGAAAGCTCTAAAATACCTGCTGGAACAGCGAATTGTGGAAGAGAACCAGCAGAAGTGGGTCTCCAAGTTAATGGGGTTTAAGTTTGAAATAGTCTACAAACCGGGCAAAGAAAACCGGGCTGCTGATGCCTTGTCAAGGCAAGATGAATCTGCAGAGATGTTGGGGTTTTCCATGTGGCAATATGATGAAATAGAAGACTGGGAAAAGGAGGTGCAATCTGACCCAAAATTAGCATTGATTGTACAGCGACTGATCACTAATCCAGAAGAAGTCGAAGGCTACAGCATTGAAAAGGGCTGTTTGCAGTACAGAGGGAGGCTGGTATTACCAAAAAAATCCACTAAAATTCCTTTGCTACTGAAAGAGTATCATGACTCTCCAGTGGGGGGCCATTCCGGCTACCTTAGAACTTACAAGAGGTTATCCAGCGTTGTATATTGGGAAGGTATGAAGAAGGACATTCAGCTTTATGTAGCTCAATGCGATGTGTGCCAGAAAAATAAATATCAAGCTCTTTCTCCTGCCGGGTTGTTGCAGCCTTTGCCTATCCCACAAGGAATTTGGGAAGATATTAGCATGGATTTCATTACCGGGCTCCCTAAGTCTAAGAAGTATGATGTTATCTTGGTTGTGGTGGACCGACTTTCAAAGTATGCCCACTTCCTACCCTTGTCACACCCCTTTACAGCAAAAGACGTTGCTGAGAAATTTGTGAATGAAATTGTAAAATTACATGGGTTCCCTAAATCCATTATATCGGATAGAGATAGGATTTTTGTGAGCCAATTCTGGAAGGAATTGTTTAAGCAGGCTGGAACTCGGTTGTGCCTTAGTTCATCTTACCACCCCGAAACCGATGGCCAAACCGAGGTGTTGAATAGGGGGCTGGAAACTTACTTACGCTGTTTTACCAGTGAGAAACCTAACCATTGGGTCCAGTGGCTCCCCTGGGCTGAATATTGGTACAACACATCACATCATACTGCAGCAAACATGACCCCTTTTAAAGCTGTTTATGGAAGAGACCCTCCCACATTCCTGAAATTGGTTGATGAACCTTCTGCTCTGGAAGCTATAAATGAGCAGATTCAGCAGAGGAACCAAGTCATTGCTGTCCTGAAAGAGAATCTCAGCAGAGCACAGAACAAAATGAAAGGACAAGCTGATAGGCATCGAAGAGAAGTGCATTTTGAAGTAGGAGAACAAGTCTATGTCAAACTTAGACCTTATCGACTTCGCTCCTTGGCAAGAAGACTCAATGAGAAACTAAGTCCTCGTTTCTATGGCCCTTTTAAAGTCCTAGAGAAAGTGGGGACAGTAGCATATAAACTTGAACTGCCTCCAACAGCTCGGATTCACCCGGTTTTCCACGTTTCAAATCTGAAAAAATCAGTCCACTCCGCTATTGTGACACCTCATTTCCCTCCAATACTGTCCGAGGATTTAGAATTGCAAGTACAACCCCAAGACATTAGAAAGGTTCGGAAACTCATCAATGGGGAATTGGAAGTTCTGGTACACTGGAAAGGTCTGCCGGAATTTGAAAATTCATGGGAAAACGCCACCACTATCAGTAGACAGTTTCCAGACTTTCCCCTTGAGGACAAGGTGGAACTTGTAGGGGTGGGAAATGATATAACCGCTGGCATTAGGAGGACTTATAGGAGGAAAATGAGAAAACCAAGGGGAGAAGTTGAAACCACTGGTCAAATCAACTACCTCAGAGCTCCAGAAATTGAGGACCAACTCTGAGTGGCAGCTAGCCACTAGCAGTATGGGTCTTAAACCCTTTAGGGTGGGTAGGTTTTCTTTTGGGGGGCAGCCTTTATTTTGTAAGGGGACGGACTAATGGAAGGGGGAGGAAAAAAAAAAGAGTGTTTAGGGAGAGACCTGGCCTCTCGAATGCCAAAGGGAAGCTGTTGTAACTAGTTTGTCTTGTTAGTCCCGGTATCATCTTTTGTTGCTGGTTGTGATTTATCTTGTAATCAGGGAAATAGGGCTTTGAGCTAGAATCAGGAGGAACCTTTTGTATCTTGATTCAGTGTTGGAACGTTATTATCAAAGCCTCAGGATTTCTCTCATTTATGACTGATCTGCTTCCTTATTTTCATTTTGTTTTCGGTTCTGTTGAATATTAAAGTTGGGTCACAACAATTTCCCTCTCATTTTAACCAATCTCCTTCCTTAATGAAGTAAAACAAATAAGAAACTCAGCAAAGAAATAATAATTTCAAGAAGAGGTTTAGGTACTTACATTTACATCTGGATACATAGCCATCTGTCAGAAAGCGTCCCTCACTATACATCCGTCATACAGTTTACAATAAATTACGCTTCCTTTTCTATAAGGAAAAAATCATGAGAGAATTGGAACTCTAAATAAAAATACAGAAGAGAAAACAAAAGCAAATGAAAAGCAAAAAAGAAAAGAAACATTGAACTCTTATCCAAGTACATGGCCTTTAAGTTTGGGCCTGTAGCATATTATCCTAATGCTAGTAGGATGCGTTTTAAGCATTCATTTCACTGATCAGCATGTGTCATGTGTGTACACGCACGTCAAACTATGAAGCTTTTCTCTGCTCTTTTTCTGGGGCCAAATTACTGGTAAACTTTAGTGCAAGGATTACATAGTACTAGGAAAGTTTCAGTTCTAAACATATGATCATGGCCCCAAAAAAAAAAATTCTGAGCAAATTATCAGGAATTCAGGTGCTAATTTCTCACATTCTTTGTTCTAACTTTCAAATCATCTTTCATTGACGCCCAAGTTACGTGACTCTGCTCCGTTAACAAAGGGAGCAAAAGCAACTTGAGTGCATCCTTTGCTTTATATTTAAAATTCAATCATATACCAAAGGTTAGAAGTTGGCTTGTCATGAATTAATGACACGAAAATGTTTCCCTCATTGATTTGAATAGAATACAACCTGTGAATCTACATATGTATAGTAAGTCGAATCTAGAAAGGAGTTAAACTCCTCGATGCTCATGGCAAAAAAGGAAAAAGAAACTCTTCGATGCACAAACAGAACAAAAGCAAAGAATTTGAAAAGACAATCACAATTAATTTATACAAGAAAACTCCAAAGTTGAATACGGAAATAAAAGCAAATGTCATCACTTTTTTATTTTATTTGCAGCAACTCAATTGTATTAAAACCCTTTTACCTTATCCTGAGCAGGTTAAAGGGCAATTCTGATCCGCCACCCCATTTGCCACCCTCAGTCACTAATGACAATCTCCCATTTATCTCAAGAAAAATGAACAACGTGAATTATAACCATCAAACAAAATAATGGTCCCCACCAATTTCAAGGAATTCAAACATGAAATAGAAAAGATTAAAAAAAAAGTCATCTAACAGTTATGACGAGCAAGAAACAGAAATTATGATATGCAAAACTGAATACTACAAATGAAATGGGCAGAATTACCTTCAATCCCACTGGGAAATCTGATTTTTCTTTCCTATTATCATTATAACAAGGGTTAATATAATCTTTGGTCTCTCAAGTTTGTCTTTATTTTGGTTTTGGTCCCTCAAGTTTCAAACCTCATAGGTTTTGGTCCTTTAAGGGGCAAAATAGTCAAAATTTTTATTAAGTTATAAGGACCAATATTTTAAATGGAAAGAAATTTAAGGGATCAAAATCAAAATGAAGACAAATTTGAGTGACCGAAAATTATATTAACCCTTATATTTAATACAAACTACATGCAGAAGGTTGACAGAATCATTGTTAGGTTCTACGTATCAACTAAATTTTTTCAAAAATAGATGGAGAAAAAAATTTCTCAACTCAAATTCTTAAAAGATAACAGATAAAGCAACTATGTACAAGGAAAAGAAATAAACTAAGCCAGCTACATTTATGCATGGGTCACGCTTAACGCAAGAGAAGAGTTCAGATACCTCATTAAATAATTAATTCAGCAAAGAAAGGCTTCCAAGGAGCAACAAAGAACAGCATTGACAATTTCAAGTTCAGTTTTTCTCAGATCCATCTACTGTCTGCCAGTGGTATTATACCATATTCCAGACCCATATTCACAATAGCCAAATCTAAGGCATTGCTGTTACTCATATGCTCAAGTACTACATCACTCAGTAGAATGACATGAAAGATTTGATCAACGTCTAATTCTAGACAATTTACATTGCATATATGTTTAGTAGTGAAAATGAGAAAAGGAAAAAGAAAGCCCAAAAATGTAAACAATATCAGGTTAGATCAGTAATTCACATTCACTTATCAACGAAAACAAATTCAATGAAAGAGCCTTTTTTTTTTTTTTTGGGTTCAGGAGCAAAAGAATAATTGAAATTTCATAATAACAGCTGAGATGAAGCTAATGGTATGATTAATTAAATAAAAATAACATGAAGGTTTTGATTGAGAAAACCTAGTAACATAATGATACAGGCCAAAAAAACATAGGAGAACTAGAGTCCAAGACAAAGATACTCAACTGATCGGGAATTTTTTAATATGAACTTTATTTTTAATGCTACCTCAAAATCAAGCAAAGGAGGACCACTTTCTGATAGTAAAGATGCATTTAAGAGGTTGTGGATACTATATGTGGCCAAAAAAGCGATAGCTTCATTCTTTTTATGCCTGACAACAGGAAAGAAGAAAATCAAACCGTACTATAAATACTTTGGTTACTCTAAATATTTGTGGTATTCCTGTCTCGCACCAAAACATAAGCAATGAATATGACCAACCATCTCACCTAAGGCTTCCACTGATGCCACCCGAACCTAAATCCCAACCGGTTAAAAGAAGCAAAAGACAATATGAATCAAATGAATGCGATTTACCGACATGAAAAAATGTTAGAAATTCTTGTGTATACAATGAGCATATTACATGGGTACTGCTGCTCAAGGAAAAAAGTATATTAGGGACTTAAAAAAAGATAGCTAGGATACACATGTGCCTACAAGGCTGGAAAGGGAATGGACATAATTCTTTTTTCTTCACAATAGCCACAGCTAAGTACCACAACACTCAGTACCACATATGCCTCGGCATATATCAATATGTCAGTAATAGAACGATGAGAAATAGTAAGGAAAATGTGAAAAGGAAAAGAAAGCCCAAAAAAGAAAACAATATCAGGTTAGACCAGTAATTCACAAGGCAAGGTTGGTCATACACGACTTTTCCCCTTGTTGTATGCACATTCACTTATTAACGAAAAGAAATTCAACGAAAGAGCTCCTTTTTAAAAAAAGGAAAAAAAAAAAAAAAAGAACAAGAGAATAATTGAAATTTCAGAATAACAGCTGAGATTAACCTAAATGATATGATTAATTAAATAAAAATAACATGTAGGTTTTGAATGAGAAAACTAAGTAACATGATGAAACTACATGCGGCCAAAAAACATAGTAGAACTAAGACAAAGATACTCAACCAACCGGGAGTTTTTGAGTATGAACCACTTTTTAATGCTACCTCAAAAGTGATATCTTGATTCTTCTGATTCCTGACAACATGAAAGAAGAAAATTAAATCGTACTATAAAGACTGTGGTTACTCTAAATATTTGTGGTATTTCTATCTTGCACCGAAACATACTCATGCAATGAGAAAATCATAAAATCAATACAAGAAGTGCTTTGCGGAAAAAATTAAAGGGCAAATGAATATGCAGTTTGAAGGAATATGTAGGCGAATCTTACAAATCCAATATCTTAGGAATAAGCCCAGGCAAAGATGCCTTCAATTGGTTCGTGTTATAAGACCAACCATCTCACCTAAGGCTTCCATTGATACCACCCGAACCTAAATCCAGCAAGTTGAAAGAAGCAAAAGAAATATGAATCAAATGAATGCAATTAAACAAACGTGACAAAATGTTTGAACGCATTTGTTTTTGAATGAGAGAAAAACATCACAAAAATGTCGGAGACAACCTTGTTAGGCCAGCAAATCTGCAACACAATATTTCTTTTTATAATGAAAGACGCTGCAAAATATTATTAGAATCAATATTATTGAATATGCCCCCCAAATGAATGATTTGACTTTGGAAGGAACCTTCAGATATTTATATGACGTATTATATTTTGCCTAACGGGCATGAAACTTGCTCAAAGTAACTTCACAGGCAATTATAATTTTAGCGATTGTGCATCACACATCCATGTACAACTGCGAACATTTCAAAACAAGTAGAAAAATGTACGACATCCAACCTTGAAACTAGATGTTTAATGTTGAATAATTTGGCTATCAAGGATAAAATTTGCCATACCATTGGCAAAAAAAACTGGCCAGTGTACATCCCCGCACATTGCCGAGAATTGATAGAATTTGTGAATGATCTGCATTGTTGTAACACATTTAGGAGGTAGAAAAAATCAGTCCTAAATGCAGAAAAAATCCGAGAAACAATTTACTATTCTGCAATTTACTAGTCAAAAGAAGCAAATTCTGCAAGAATTTGGACCATAGCTGGTAATGCTGAAGTTAGCCCTGATAAATGAAGATAAATCTCATCCGTCATCTGCAATTCCTATTCAAGAGTGAGGCAGGCGAAAGAGAGAAGATTGAGAACGCAGTTTAGAACCCAGGACAACGTAGGAGAAGTGAAAATACAATGAAGAATAACAAATAGAAGCTACCGATATTTCCTACAAAGCTGAAACGGTAAGGCAGATAATTCTTTTTTTTTTTTTTTTTTGGATTCCATTGATTAATATCCAAATATATGTGAGAGCTCTATCTAACAATATATTTTTCTTTCTACCTGTCTCCACCATCTCTTTAGCCACATCGTTCGTTCTATATTAAAATAAAGAATATTTAAAAATCATTGTAGTAAAATAAAAGCAGAGAAAATAGCTCACTATGTCAGGTAAATGTGATCCAATTTGCAACAAGCAGGCCCATTGCTAGCCAATTAGAGTTGAGTTCCTGCAGAAGAAGCAGAGCAACTAGTCATGTACACCAAACTCTGTAAAGCGCAGAATTAAAAATGTCCAAAGATAACTGTCATAACAAGAAAACGATGCACAAGGGACGAACTTACAGGGCTGTAGAGAGGTGAAACTCCAAAATTTGGTGTCTAAAAGTACTCTGGTAAAGTTCTACCAAACCTTAATATGTTTACGTTAACATAAACGTATCAGGTGAACAGTGACTAGTGCGAGCGAGGACCATCGTCAACATTTAAAGACATCCGAATTGCAGATTTCAAAATGCCATTGTAAATATCTGACAAAGAGTGAAACTAAATTATACATTGCAAGCTATGCCACTAAAGTAGCAATTACGTACCGAATTTTCCTGAATGAAAACTGAGACCTTGGAAGGTATAATCTCAGAGACAGCAATCTTAGATAGCTTTGCCATAAAAGATTCATCAAATTTCTTTTCTGTCTAGCGGTCGAACTCTATATGCCATCACTTGAAAAATTTTCGCCATGTTTCCCAATTGCCTAAACAATCAAATCCCAAACCAAGGGAAATAATTAACGGCACCGTCTTGAACTTCTCTTTCGTCATCATTTTCAACGAAATGCCAATCAAGAATTAAAAAAAAAAAGCCCTCGGGATTCTGCCGCGAGCAATCAAGAACCAGAAGTCGATTTCCGCAAATGCAATAGAAAAGTTGCTTGATCATCAAGCCATAGAGCGCGGGCCTGGCATATAAACTAGGGTCTTGGCGGTGCAATGCAACGGTCATTTATTTTCTACTATGCAAGCTGTCAATTAAATCATTAATTATTTTATTTTTTTGGCCAAATCAACAATTACCCGAAAAAATAACTAAGGAACGGTCATTTTCTTGGCCATGTAAGCTGTCAGTCAATCAATCCATATCAATTAATGAATCAAGGTAATTAAAGAACAGTAATTTTTTTGGCCTTAAAGGCATAAACTGTCAATCAATTAATGAATCAAGATAATTAAACAATTGCCGGCCAAAAAAAATTAATCAACGGTCATTTTTGTTTTGCCTTCAGATGTAAGCTGTCAATCAATTAATTAATGAATCAAGATAATTAAGCAACGCTTTTTTTTTCCTTCGCCTTCAGGATGTAAGTTATCAATCAACTAATGAATCAAGATAAATAACAAACTGCTTGCGGGGAAAAAAAAACAGAGAGATAATTAAGCAACAGTTTTTTTTGTGTGCTTTAAATGCAAACTGCCAATCAATCAATTAATGCATCAAGATGATCAAGCAGCGGTTACTTTTTTTCGCCGGATGTTAGCTGTCAATCAATTAATGAATCCAAGTAAATAAGAAATTGCTAGCAAAAAAAAAGAAGATAATTAAGCAACGGTCTTTTTTTTTTTTTTAATGCCTTCAGATGTAAATAGTTAATCAATCAATTAATGAATCAAGGTAATTAAGCAATGGTCTTTTTTTCCCGTCTCCAGGATGTAAGCTATCAATCAATTAATGAATCAAGATAATTAAGAATGGGTCAATTTTTTTCACCTTCCTGATGTGAACTGTCAATCAATCAATTAAAAGAGAGTTACAATGAGGTTTTATATAAGAAAAAAATTATAAAATAAATCTTAAAGATTGCTATTCTTCACTCTAGAATTTGTTATTACTGACTACTCAAGTCCTTATTGAACTTTTTAGTAGTTATTTCTTTTATATGGGATTTGATTGTAATTTTTCTATCAATTAATGAATCAAGATAACTAAGCAACGCTCATTTTTTGTGCCTTGGATATGCAAGCTATCAATCATCAGTAACAATACTCGTAATACTTTTGAAAAATACTTAGTTTGTTATGTCTGTCAAATTTTCAATCATATAAAATTATATATCTTATTTTTAAAATACTGATATTTAATAATATTTAATTATAAATATAAATCGAACAAGATTAACATAGCCATGTGTAATTATCTTCTTTAAGTAACCATGTGTAATGGTAAAAGAAAATTACATAACAGAATTTGATATAAGTCACATAGCGGATATAAGAAAGCTAATGTAAGTACTACCTCCGGTCATAATTATAAGACCTAGATGACTAATTTGATGAGGTTAAGAAAATAAGTTAAGTTAGTTATTTTTTGTAATAAATAAATATTATTTTTTCTAAAATATCCTTGTTAATCAACTATATTGGTTAGGACTATCATTATTAGAAGGATTATCTTAGGAAAAAATACATAAATATGAGAGACAAAATGGATTAAAGTCTTATATTTAGAACCAAAATAAAAATCAAATAAGATCTTATATTAAGGACCGGAGGTAATATTATCTAAAAATTATTTATTTGATCATCATTCTGAACTATCAATTGTTTAAATATCAAAATTTTAAGAGGTATGAAAATATTAAAAATAGAAACTTTGAAAATTGTCATGTTTGCGGTTCTCTAACACACAAGGTTTACCCGTCAAGAAAATTTTTACTGCATGATGGTTCTCAATACAAATAATTAAAGGATATTTGTGCCAGCAAGAAAATTAAACAATATTTTAAAAAACAAATACTCGTACTTATTTCTTATAAATAATTAACTTAACTAATTTTTTTTAATTTTCTGATTTTAAGAGTTTATATGTTTTAAAACATGTTTTTGCCAACACGTGTCTAGCTCAACCCAAAATAGTGTTATTTATTATCTAATTAGTATAACGTTGTAAAGAATCGAATTTTGTCCTTGCCAACAAAATTTATTCTCTCATGCATGTTCATATTAGTTGGGAAAAAGCTGGCACGAAAAATGTTTATATTGAATGTTGATTTTTGTTTTAATGAAAACATGAGCTGACAGAAAAACCATGTTACATTGAATTTTTTTCCCCAAAAAAAAGTCTTTACCTGCCATATAAACGGGCCTGAGGGTAGAGTTCTATTAGGCCTTCTACTCTAAGGCCCCAGATTAGGTTTTCGTGGGCCTTAGATTAGATTTTAAAATACTCTTTAAACAGAACAGAAGATCAGAAGCTGCAAGTGTCGGTTATCCGGACCAGTCACAGCCTGTTCGGAATATTGAGCTCGCTTTCCTGGAACGATCTCTTTGTTCGGGTCTCGTTGCGGTTCTTGAGGCTTTAACCCTTCATGTAATTCCTATCTCTAACCCTTGCACCATTTTTTTTCTTCCTTTGCCATCCGTTTTTCCCCGATTCTTGGACTCTGTACGTACTTTACCCTTCGATTTTGTCGCGCATCACGTTTCGATTATGGAACTTGCAAGCAATAGTGATTAGGTTTTTGATTCCTGATGAACTGTCTCCTGATTCGTTTAATTTGGCTATTTGGGTTTTTACTGTAAATTCTCAGGGTCTTCAGGACGATGTTTTAGAAAACTCAACTTTAGAGATCCAACCCAGTCATGTTAATACAATTGTGTGTTTGGGTGCTTCCGCATTTTGCTAAAGCGAAAAGCATTTTAGGTGGCTGAAACCCCACCTCTCCGTAAAAAAAGCCCTAAGAGAGTGGGATGAAATAATTTTTCATTTTTTAAAAGACTCTAGTTATTTAGGCTCCTAGTTTATTTAGTATTTTGTAAACAAATAGAGAGAGGCAAATTCATCATGGATCACAGTCACACTATAATGATCAGTACCCAGTAAAATAGAGACGAAATTGATTATTTCAGTCAGATCGCTGTCACCCCATAATTATAAGACACTTTACTTCGCTCGTCTGCTTGCCTTTTTAACTGTTCTTGCTTAATTAGAGGTTCATTGTCTTAAGTGGGCCTTTTGCTACCTTTTGCTACCTTTAACTACCTTAGGTTACCTTAATGAGCTAACTAATTCTGTTATAAGATCTTTTCTTTTTTTAAAATGAAAATCGCCCATAAGAAATTTACACACACATATCGTGAGAGAGGAGAGAGCTAAATTTCTTGGGTTTGATTGAACACATCTCTGTAGACACTGCCCTGACTGTTTCTACTGATCAGTTGGGTAACCTATAGTCCTATACCTTCACTGTTTCTTCAAAGCCTTGCCTCTGTGATTCTATCATGACCTTAAGAATGTTTATTCTCCACAGTTCAATCATGTTTATCTATAGAATTGAGTCATTGGCGTTGAATAACATGGTTTTCTTGCTGGGATGATTATTGTTTTGATGACATGGAGATAACAGCAGTGTTAAGCAAAATTACATTCTGAGGACAGTTAGGAGGGTGGGCGATCTTCATCTAAGTTATTATGTGTCTTGTCTAATTTTGGTCTATAATTTATTACAGATAATAGTTAGAATTCATTTGTAGTGGTTGGCATTATTCTTGTAAAATCAAGTTGGGAACAGTTTTTTTTTCATCATTTTCTAGAATTTCTGGAATCATATTCTCATTTGAAACTCTTTCTGAGAATCAATGGCGGGAACTCTTTTCACTGCTTATTTCATCATTTTCAAAATTCAGAGTAGCATCTATTATTCATAGCTGCTGTGATGAAGAAGGTTGCTTTCTTGGTGCTTACAACTTCTATTTGTACTAATTGCTAAAAATTGCTGCCAAGTCAATCTTTAAGCCTTGTTTTTCCCTCAGATTCCCATGCTCATTTACTGCTGATCGCCTTTTGTCTCTGTAAGTTAAGGGTCTGATATAACCTGCTGAAATAAACAATAACCAGAACAGAAAAATGGTACGACAACAGTAAATGAGGGGAAATATTGAGGTTTTTGCTATTAAATGTCAAAGGCAGCCAAAGCAGTGTTAGAAAAGGATTCTCACTGATTCTGGCCCTAAATAATCAACCCTAAAAGCAGAAGACTTATAAAAATCCAACAAGTAACATCGCTTCCCACGCAAGCTACACCCTTGGGCAACCCCCCAAACATTATTAATCTAGCTTTTACTTTTCCGTACTACTAGTATCTGTAGGATAGACATCGGAACCAGAAGTATTTTGCTCTTCTACCCTCTTGGCCTTCCTTGATTCCCTCTGATATGTTTTAATAAATTTTCCAGCTCTACCTGGCTCCTTGGTGGTACAGCTCCTTACTGTGGGGGTTTTTCACTTTTCACGGCAGATCCAGATACAGCCATGTCTGGAAGCACAAGTTGCACTGTTTACATAGGTGAGGCTCCTTTATCTTTTCCTTTTGTCCTCACACCCACAATCCCCTGAGTAGGACAGGGAATTACTTTAAGAAATCTCTTTTGGGTTTTGATATCAAAAGAGATTGTGCATGTGATGTGCGTGCTGCCTGCTAAAATAAGTTTCAAGTGTTAACATTAGTGATATTGGCTTGAAAGATTATCTTTATCCTTGAATGGCTTGAATTTGGATCTAATTAACACTCTAGACTTAATGTTGAGCACCAATGCATCTGAGTTGATTTTAAGAGGATAATGAATGGATTTAAGATGCTGCTCTTTGAAGATCTGATTTAATTGGAGCTATACACAAAATTGATTGTTTTGATATCAAAATCTGTTGTCTGGTATTTTTTCTCGATGTCTTGACAACTAGCAAATACAATTTAAATGAGAAAATAATATTATCTCTTTCTTTTTTTTTCGTGGAAATAATTGACTAAACTGCCTAGTTGCAAGGCAAGGACACTTTTAGTCCTACTCTTTTTCCGTCTGTTTGTTGTTGTTCTTTCACTGCTTTGGGGAGCAATGGAATCTTTGCTCAATTAATTGTTTAATATGCCTGCACAAAGTTTTCAATGAGATGGGAGATGATTTTGTTCAAGAGCTTGTACTTTATTCTGTAATTGTTCTGAATTATGGCTGATCTCCATTCTCATTCTAGGATTTACTTGCGGCAAATACACCAGGGGTGGAAATAATTACTCGTATATATTCTTGTTTTCCCCCTCCATTTTTCTTGCTTTTTCCTTTCTATTACAAGCTGCTTGACCTCCTGCTGCTTGTTGTATTTTTGCCCTTCAAACATGCAGGATTTATATGGTAGAACTTTCAACTTAATTTTGTTGTGCAATGAGGAAGTGTTTGTTATATTGTGATCTAGATTCTCACATTCTATAATATCTTAGATACTAAGATTGGATGACTACATTTACTATATTGTTATGTGATAACAAGGAGTTATGTCAATTTAAAAGGGTGATGGCTACATTTAGTGTACTGTGATGTACTCCCTCCGTTCCTTATTATAAGAGACAAATAACCGAAGTACGTTGATCAAAAAAATAGTTAAAGTTAGTTAAGAACAATTAATGTATAAAAGTATAATTTTTTTCCAAAATGCCCTCATTAATAAGGAGAGAGAACAATTAAATTATTAAAAGAAAGAGAAGTGGGAGGGAGAGAGAGTGTGAGTTGGAGATAATAAATATGGGTAAAATAGTAAATCAACACAAAAAAGTAGAGACAACTTGTAAGTGTCTCTTATATATAGGAACATGGCATAAGCATCAAGTGTCTCTTATAATAAGGAACGGAGGGAGTAATATTTTAGATATGCTATACCCGAATTTCATTTATTTTGATGTCCTTCACTCTTATGTTTCTGCCTTTGATGTGTTACAGTGTTAGGATTCTTATGTTAGGGGAAGTGTAGTTTGGAATATTAGAATAGCAAGAGAGAGAGTATGAGTGTTTGTGCAGACTTGTGTGTGTTTAACAAACTCCGATAGCTTTGGTCCTGGCATATAGGAGTCTGGCTGTGGGTTTCAGGTGTGTCAGGAAAACTTTCATCAAATTCAGAATTGAATTTTGGTCCTTTGTTTACATATAAATTTCGATTTTATGCTTTTTTAATCATGTTTTTATTCAGGGATAAAAATTGCATGACTTTATAATATATCTAAACCCAAAAGAACATTTTTGGAAATTCATGAGAACAAATAACGTCGATGAACATGTAAGCAACATTTTTCTCTTGCATACTTGAGATGTAAAATACCACCAATCTTCATTCCCGACATAAGGTATTATGAATACCTTGGCATCCTATACGATGTAATCCTAGATGTTATAGTATCTAAGACATGGCATATCAGGCACATCTTGAAACTTTTCTATTATTTTGCCAATCCAAGTTTTAAGGGCTTTCAGATTATCTGAAAGTATAGCCAATTTGTGCACATGCAGAACTGATTCAGTTGTTTCTCTTCCACTCAGGCAATCTAGATGAGAGAGTCTCGGAGAGGATCTTATATGATATATTAATTCAAGCAGGACGAGTGGTGGAACTGCATATTCCTAAAGATAAGGAATCCGAGAAACCTAAAGGATTTGCCTTTGCAGAATATGAAAGTGAGGAGATTGCAGATTATGCTGTCAAGCTTTTCTCGGGCCTTGTGACACTCTACAACAGAACGCTGAAGTTTGCGGTCTGTTCTTTACCACCTGATACTTGGATTTTGTTTAAGTAACTTATTTGCATTTTGTGAATTTGTCATAGTTGATGGGAACCTCAGAAAGACCTTATAGTCATGTGACATTATATATTAGCTGTAGCTGAACGTATAGGTGCAGCTATGTGAACTTACGTATCCCACTTATCCATGGGATATGATGTCACACAGTTCCATTGGCTTGTCTGCTGAACTGTGGTATATATAACTGATTTTTCGTGACTTGTGATGGGATTTATGAATTAAATGTTTATTCTACTAATCTACAGATATCTGGCCAAGACAAACCTACTCTAAATGGTTCTGCAGTGGCTACACCATCATCAAATTCTTCCCACCGATCGAGGCCCCAGCCTGTGCCAATAAATAATACTGATATTTCTCCGCACTCTGCTAGGTTACCAACACCTAGCCGGATTTCTGATTACCCTGCAAATTATTCCCGAGGTAATATATTTGCTTTGCTTCCTCTCCTTATTTTCTTGCCTGGTAGACATTTTTTTTTTCCCTTCACAATGAAGTTTTATTACCAGAGCATAATCCAAGATTACTGAACTGCTGTTTTTCCCCTCAAATTCCTTAACTTTTATTGCCAGTTAATCACCGGGTAGTTGACCAATCTAGTGAGTATGGATCTCTCTACAATGGCAACGATTATGAATTCAGCCGGAGAGTCTTTGGGTCAACATTGGATAACATTAGCCGGTATAGGTCACGCCGACATGATACAAGTAACCCAATCTCTTACCCATCTTACTAATATACCAAAAAATATCTGTGGGGAGTTAAAATTTACTCTCCCCCAAATCTAATTAGTATGAGTAGTACTTGACTACTTGTACATCTTTGTACGATGTATGTAAATGAGAAATATTCAGTAGTTAGAAGATACTGCTTGATATTAGCAAAGCCAATTCATGTTCGTGCCCCTGTTATATATTTGTTATGTACTACCATGTCCAGGCAGGCTAGGTATTCATCAACTTAATTATGCTGGTTTTGTTCATCAGTGAAAAACACTTCTTGAGTAGGCTAAACTGGGATATGAGGTGAGTATTTGTTGCCTTTGATTATGCTTTTGAATCTGTCTGAACCCTCAAGGTGTTGCCGCTTATTGTCGGGGATGATCTAGTGTAGATTGTTCTGGACTGTGGGAACTATAGAAAATGTTCATCTCGTTCAACTCGCAGGTTTAATTTCAATTTGATGGAATTCTTTTCTAATCAGCGTCAGATGAGTGACGCTGAGCTTTCTATAGGTTGACATATTCTTTTCCCGAAATGCTGGGAAATTTGAATAAATTTAATTCACACATCAAATTATTAGGTAGAAAAGAAACTTGTCGTTTCTTGATTATGTGATGAGATACAGGCGCCACGGGCACAGCCATCTCAGAATTTATGGTATTTTGGATGCCAAGGCTTAAGATTCCATGGCATTTTTCATGCCTGTGTTTGATGTCACTGTATAAAATAATTCTTACGTCCACTCCACGCGCAACCCACAGGTGCAAGGAGTTCTCCAAAGTGAGTGTGCCCTTGGAATCCCACCACTTGCAACACCCACTGTGGTGAGCTTTCCTTAATTCCTTGTATCATCTGATTGTGCAAATAGTGCACACTTAACGGTATGTTTGCTTTCTTGAATAATGGAAATGGTGATCAAATGGAGCAATACCAAGTTTGGTATGATAGGAATTGATCCTTCTTCCATTCCTTAAATCAGGCTTTAAATCATTCCATGGAAATAATGATGGAATGGGACTGTGTGATGTGGGAAAACAGATCAAAAAGACTTATTTGCCCTTTTTATTTTTATTTTTCTCACAAATCATTCCACCATACCAAATATTAAGGTAAATTTGGTCAATTGGCATTATATCTTTTTCTTTCCTATTATATTTTTGTTTATGCAAGCATAATGATACAAAAACATTCTTATTTTACTTAAAACATTTTTAAATAATATTTTATTCGCACTCCCGTTTTTGTCAATTTCATAAGAGTACTTGATGTTCTGTGATGGGAGATTGTTGCTGTATATTTAATGACACCCCCCAATGTAACAACACACATTGTTGGTGTCACTGGAGAATATTTTCTTTGGTTACACCCCCTCAGCATGTTTGGCTGGCATAGTAGCAAGGATCATGAATTTTGTTTGTATCATATTGGTAAAACTTTGGCACATTGTGGTCTTGAAAAGCAGAAATGGCTTTCATAGATATGGAGGATCATGGACGTTCCTGTGGGGTATTACTTACCTGCGAATGTGCTTTACAGGAGAGGCAGATGAAACCTCTTAGTTCTGTCCATATCTTCAGGAAAACCTGCCAACACAGGTCTCTAATGCTCGGTCAACGTCTTGTGATTTGGTTTCTGAATTGTGCGGGTGTTAAATACGCTGTTCAAAATTACCCGCCAAATTAAAGGACCAAAAAAAAAATATATTCATTATATTGATCAATGGACAAGTTATGTTTGATGATGAAGTATTCACAAATAATCACAGCTGCTCAACAGGCCAACTTTTCAAAGTGATATTTTTCTTATTATTGGGAGAAATTAATCTTTAGGTTGCTGTATAATTTTAATTCATAGGAAACTGATTAACTTCTTGTAATTCAGGCTCTGGTTTCAGTCATAATTTCAGCCTTATTAAATATATAATTTTAAAATTATAGAGACGTGGTTGTTATTGTTTCGGTAATTTAAATTTAAATAATTTTCAAATGTTATTTATATAAAGGAAATAAATATTTTTAGTCTAAAATATGTGACTAGCGGTTAGTTGATTTTTTTAAATGAGAATATTAGGCTTGATTGACGATGCCATGTTGTCAAACGAAAATTTTAGTTGTGAAACCAATTTCATATCTAAACTATTCAATACTTCGTTCTGCACATCTATCTATAAACAAAAGCAGTCGTCGCGGCTTGCAGAGAAAATCTTCTTTTTTTTTTTAAGTATTGTAGTTTGGGAGAATTACAAGAAATATCAAGAAAAAAAAATTTAATTATTAATAAGTCTTGATAACAATTGAGTTATAATCACAAGTTCGGAGTAAATTTTAGAAGTGGACTTCTACCGTATGGCTAGTCAATTCTGGAACGTAGTTGATCTTAGAGATGATTAGATCTATTAATTTTGAAAAACCTTTTTCAACCGTAGCAACTGTTATTGTGGATGGTATTTTATGAGTGAATTTTTTATCAGAATTTCTGTCGGTAACTATGTACAGAAAATGAATCGCGACCGCCAATGTCAACATGTTCACCCAACGTAAAATCTTTTTCAGATTAATACCGCTTGTCAATATAAAAGCTAATTAACCATTTAATTTGATTTTAAGTATGAAATTTTAATTTATTTTGCCTCTCATATTTATCTATTTTTTTAAGATAATTCTTGTAGTAGTTGTATATATCAAAAGTTTTATTAAATTATAGTTCTAACTAATACACATAATTAGTAAGGATATTTTAGAAAAAAAAAATGACTTTTATTTATTACAAATAACTAGTTTAACTATTTTTTTTAGTCTACTCAAACTAGTTAATTAATTCTCATATTAAAAACAAGGTATAATTCTTTTTCAATTCATCTTCATTTATATGAGGCTATTGATGCTGTTTTTTTTTTTTTTAAATAAACGTTGCAGCTGGCGGCCAGTTATATTAGGCCTGATGGCATATGGGTCCGTCTGAAATAACATATGAGTAATTTTCTAATCGTAATATGTGAAATATGAGATAAGTATATAAAAAGAGTGAAAAAAATAACTCGGAGGTCTTTATGCTTTTAGTCAATTTCGAATTGGGTCTTTAGATTTTCTTTTCTTTTTATTGAATTCTTTAATTTTCAACTGAGAAGCCTTTCAGTCCCTACTGTTAAATATAAGCAAGCACCGTTAAAATTTTTCATTAGAAAGCACTGAAAGATATTCAGGATCTGCCTTTTCCGCCATTAACAAGCACTCAGACCAAGCTCACTCAGTCCCCAATATCTTCTCCTTCCTTGTCATTCTCCTATTCCTACCCTTACTATTCCTTCCCACGTGTAACACCTTCTCTCACTTCGAAATTGGGGTAAATGGGTCTTTATAATTAGCTAGTCTCACAAGAAATCACGTTATTCCTAACCCCAAAAATGAAAATGGCAAGCACCTGACGTAGAGGTTTTGGGAACAATAAACACATATCGCATGGTATGGCGTAAGACATTCCCAAAACGTCAAAAATTCATAGTGACACTTTGTAATATAAGTGGTTTCGAATTAAGGAGGGGGGAAATGCAATCAAATTCTAAGCGAATTATATCACAAGATTGAATAGTGGGAAAGGATATGTTGAGGACTGAGCGAATGACGAAAGAAAGCTTGGTCTGAGAGCTTGGGTATTGTGGAAAGAGACATACTGTGATTTAACAGAAAATCTTAACAGTGTTTTTATTTACTGTAAGGACTAATAGATCTAACAGTTAAAAATTAAAGGATTCAATAAAAAAGCAAAAAAGTCTAAGAACCCAATTCAAAACTAAGCGAAAATACAAGAACCTCCAAATTACTTTTCCCAAAAGAGTTTTATTTCAATTTATATAAATCTTGTCTATTTGTATTTTTGAAGGGGGGCGTTCACAACATTTATTCATAGCCGCTTCTGTGAAGTTTTTTTTTTTTGGTTGCCAGAGTATCCTCCCACCCAAACGGTAAGAGACTAATCTCTCGGTGTACTGTCAGGCGCCGTAGCGGGGACCCTTCTAATAGTGTTTTCTCTATACACACTGCAATAAGGATCGAACTCAGGACATGATGTTTAGCCTTCTGTGAAGTTTTTATTCCCTGTTTCGGGGGAAGTTGTTTTACTTTACCCAAACTGGGGCCCACTCCCAGCAAGAATAGATATGACCCACGACAACCCAACCTACAAGGCAAGGAACCAAATTCACATGGTCTCCCTTCATTGACCCATTCAACGCCTTCCTTCCTTCTTTCTTTCTTTGGTGTTATGCCTTCCCTTTCAGTCAAAATATTTTTTGTTAATTTAAATTTTTTAATAAATATTTCCACCATGTGTTTTATTTGTTATTTTATAGTTACGCTCCATTATTCGTTGTATCATTATTGAGAGCAACAGGCCAACATTCTCTCAATTTGATTTGCTTTATATATCAAGAAAGATGTTACAAAATATCTCTAAAATAAAAATGAGTTGTGATTTATCACTTCCTATTATAAAACGCATCCAACCACTTCACTTATTGAAGCTATCAAACTTGTTTAAAAATAAAATAAAATTTTAAAGTTGCCCTACTTAAAATCATAAATTACATATATAGAAGCAAGAAAAAAAAATTACATCAAATACTAAACAAGAGTAATTCTGAAAAAAAAAATGTAATTATTTGATCACTTATGATAAGAATTGTTGATTTATCTTATACTAATAAGGATCAAAGTAATCTTAAAAATTAAAATAAATTACTCATTCTGCCCTAAATATAAGAACTTTACAAACATGGCAGGAATAGTATTTATAACTCCCCATATGCAAATGGTCTTGTTCATCAGCTCCACAACTAATTAGAGGGTCACCTAATTCTTTATTGAAAACGTTCCATCTACCCCCACTTAATGTTCCGCCTTCTCTTTCCACCACCTTCTCATTTATATATACTCCTCTGGTCCTAATTATAAGACCCAATTGACTTATTTGAGGAGATTAAGGAAGTAAGTTAAGTTGGTTATTTATAATAAATAAGTGTTGTTATTCCTAAAATATTCTTGCTAATTAAGTATATTGGCTAAAACTATCATTATTAGAAGGATTATCTTGGAAAAAAATGCATAAATATAAGAGAGAAAATGGATTGGGTCTTATAATTAGGACCAAATAAAAAGTCAAATTGGGTCTTATAATAAGGACCGGAGGAGTATCATGCTTCTTCTTCCTATTTTTGTATTTTTTTTTTCAAAGCCAGGGTATTATTATTATTATTATTATTATTATTATTATTATTATTATTATTATTATTATTATTATTATTATATACCATATCAAGTTTCACACGCCCAAATAATGCCAATATTTTTATATGACTTCCGTGATACACCCTGTTTAATTTCAGAAAACAAATGTTTAGATTACGATGGTAAATTTTTAATAGAAGTCAATTCTAATTCTTACGTTTGTGTAATATGAAGACTTTAGGGCTAAAGAAGATT